AAGGACATGGATAGCAATAGTGGTAAAAATTCTTTCGTTTTAGATTTTGGTTGTTTTGGGTTTTCAGTTAGACCATTGGTTTTTTACAGTAAAGACATATGGTTGGAATTTGTGGCATTTTCGGCTTGGTCACCCTCATTTTGCTCATTTACTATGCGTTTTTCGAAATAATATGTTGCAATAGAAAATTGCATATGTTACAAACTTTGTACCCACTTGTGTGAGTTGTATTGAAGCTAAGGCAACTCGTCCATCTTTTCAGTCTAGTGACAAGGTTTATGAAGATTCTTTTGAATTGGTTCGTATTCAACTTTGGGGACCATCGTTAATAACTTCTTGTGTGGGTTATCGATATTTTGCATTATTAATTGATCATAAAATCAGGCACACATGAGTTTATTTCTTGCGACATAAATAATAACTAATTACCTATGTTATCAATTTTATACATGGTTCAAACACAGTTTAATAAGACGGTTAAGATGATTCATAATGATCTCGTAGGGGATTTTAGCTCAAATCCTTTGTTGAAATTCTATAAATCACAAGGTTTCTTATCACAACAATCAAGTCCTAGAATTTTTTTAACATAACGGTGTGGTTGAGCGGAAGAATCGACATATATTGGAACTTACACGTGGTTTATTGTTTCACATGTTTGTGATGGCTTCTTTTGGCTCGAAGCGGGCGACACTGTGGTATACTTAATCAAACTTCAAATGAAGATTATCCTGAAGAATAAAATGCCATATGCAACTCTATATTGGAAACCACCTGATTATGGAGCTTTACAGGTATTTGGTTGTGCATTCTTTCTTATTCTTACAAGGAAGGAGCGAACTCAATTGCAACCTAAGCTAGTGAGGTGTGTGTTCATTGGATATAGCGAGAAGCATAAAAGATACTTGTGCTATGATCCTTCAATTCGTCATATGCAAATATAACCTTGTGTTATGTTTCTTGAACACGTGAAGTATTATTCTTCAACTATGGAGGAGTCATCCAAGTCATTAGATTTTCAGTCTTTAGTGCATCATTTTGAAGCTACGAGCACTCAAGGACCACATGAAAATTAGGGAGATCCTCCTGATAATGACCTTGGAGATTCTACCCCATTTACACCATCACTTCATTACTCCTCTGCAACATCATATGCATCTTCACTAGCCATCTTACCATCATCTTTTAGCGAGCATTCCGATTCAACAAGTTCATCATCGGTTTCTCAATTGTCAAGTCGTCCCTCACTAAGTGATTTTCCCTCACTATAAATTGTTCCTTAACAAGATCTTTGTCGTTCTATTAAACTTATCTTGGATCAACTCCTTGTGCGTAGATTTTTAGCGCCTCATCCAGATTTCTGACTCTAACACTATTCATATACGTATTAAACCATCGTTTGGACAGTGTTTGAAGAAATATGAACAAAGAGCAATAATTTTATATTTTCTTGAAGTCAAAGTGTATTAATCACACGAAATTCCAAAAACATGATATGATTAGGGCTGACAAACGGTAACCAGGTAACCGGTTTACCGTTTTATCGAACCGATAACCTGCAGTAAACGGTAAACCGATTACCGGCGGTATCGGTATCCGAGTTATAATTGAGGAATCCAATTTACTGCCCCCAGTCTCGGTAAATACCGACGGTAAGTCGGTATTACCGATATCGGGACGCTGCGTTTTACCGCCCCCACCCTGGAAACCCTAAAAACAAAACGACCCCTTCTTCGGCTTCGCCCTTCGCAGATGCCTCTCCTTCTCCTCTCCGCGACTCCGCTTCTTGGACGCCTTCGCCTCCTGTCTCTAGTCTCGACCGCTGAGACCACATCGCGTCGCTAGCGCCGCAACACCCCCTCCCTCTTCGAAACCCAGACGGCGACGAGTGAGGAGTGACGGCGACGAGTGAGGAGTGTCCCTTCCGGCTTCCTCCTTCCCTCGCCGATGCCAGCCTCCCAGACCCAGTCCTCCGCCTGACCGCCACGGCGCCACCTTCCCGCCAGTCCTCCTCTGCTAGGAGCAAACCAACCCCTGATGTGCGGAGAGATTAATTCAATGCACTGCATGAAAACAGCCGGAGACGGAAATCACAAAAAGTTAAAAACCCAAAAAACTAGAAAGAAATGAAACGGTCGATGTAATGCTACTAACTCCTCGTCGTCCCCGCGACATTGTTAGCCGGCAATACAGAAGCTATGACTCTCTCTCTCTCTCGTTAACCTTCTATGGTCGGTAAGTCTATAAAACTGGTTTGTAACCGTTTACCGATAATTCAGTAACCGGTAAATCGGTTACAAATCGGTATCGGTAATCGATTCCCTCTTGCCCACACTCGATATACCCGTTTACCGATCGATTGTCACCCCTAGATATGATCGAATAATTAAAACTAGGGTTGTGCGGACCAAAAATATGTTTGGACCGGACCATACCAACCTGAATATAATGCGGCTCTGTCCCATTAATTTATAAATACTGAAGAAAAATGAACTAAATTGATATTTGAGCCGGACCGAATACATAATTATCCGGTGCTAGTACTAAAATATCTTTCTCTATTAGACCATAATTTTCGTGAATTTGGTCCGGTTTGCACACTCTTAATTACAACTAATAAGCAAAACTAAAAAGAAATATTTGTAAAATATGCTGAAGGTATGCTGAACTATGCTTGTGTCCTCCTCCTTGCTAGTTGCTTTCACAAACTCGAATGGGCTTCAATTTCTAAAAATTCATGGGCTGGTGGAGTTATTTTAGGCCTCCACACAACGTTAAGAAATAGGCTTAGGAAATGATAGCCCAAATGGCTGGCCTGGATCCGTTGGAACCCGACTCGTTTACCCGATTATAGTTCCTTCTTTCTGGTAAATCAACCGATGTTTCTGAAGCCAAGCGAATCTCGAACATAGATTTGCAAAAGAGGAAGGAAAAAGAAAAAGCGAAGATGGTGAAGGTCTCGACCTACTTCTTGATGTCACTGGGTGCGTTCGGCTTCTGGCAATCGATGGATAAGCTTCACGTCTGGATCGCTCTTCACCAGGATGAGAAGGTAATTTACCCACCCAACACATTTCTGCATCGTTTTCATCTTCATCACGGGATTGTGGTTGACTGAGGGCTTGGTTTGTCGATTGATGTCGCAATTTACCGTCTCCGTTTCTATAATCGGAACGGGTATGGATTTTCGTTCGAGTTTCCCCATCTTCGGGTGTGGGCCAGTGAATTTAGGATCGGGATTATGAAAATAAAAGCTAAGATAGAGCAGTTTTCAGTGAAACCTGGAAATTCAATTCAGATATAGAAAATGGGTGTTTTTGTTTTTACACTGTGAAAAGGCTTGCTAGGTGATGATTGAGCTTCAGTCATATGCATACTTTAGCTGCTTGTTTTTCTTGAACTTTGACTACCAACTGTATTCAAGCTGTTGCAGAAGAGACCCTCAAATGAGATTCCAACTTTGATTTCCTTAATGTTGGTGCAAATTCAATTGACAGTATTGTGCTTTCACATTCAGTGAATTGGGTTATTCGATTCAGATAGAGAAAAGCTGTTGATAGATACTTGAGATTAAGTCATTCTTTCTACTTCTATGGTTTTGTTTATGGGAGAAGAAATGGAGCTACCTAAGGTATGCTTGTGGTTTATGGGAACTAAGCTAAAGCCTTAGGGAACATGCAGGATGAGAGCTACCGAATGTATGCTTGTGGTGTATTATGCGAGGCAAGGATGAACTGGGATGTGATACTTGTAATTGTTGGGGTTTTTTTATGTTTGATTTTGTCATTTTGCCTCTTGGTTGAGCTGAAATGACAAATGATTGTGGATGCTCTTGATAGGTGTTTACCATGAACAAAAAAAAAAAAAAACAGTTTTTAATATGAGAACTAAGCTACAAAGCCTTAAGGATCATACACGAGGAACAAAATTTTGGGATATGGTTCTTCTGCATCAATCTTTAGCATTTCCATGAGCACAAGAAGGGTTTCATGCTGTGTGCTATATGTGTTACAAAGCCTTAGGAAACATGCAGGAGGACCAATTTTTGGGATATGCTTCTTTTCTGCACCAATCTTAGCCATTTTCATGAGCACAAGAAATGTAGAAATGTTTGGTGCTGTGTGCTGTCTGTGTTCACTAAGCTTGGAAAAAAGTGGTTGTGAAAATGGGAACTAATGCTACAAAGCCATAGAGAACATGCCAGAAACCAGGAACTAATGCTACAAAGCAATAGAGAACATATCAGAAACCAGGTTTTGGGATATGGTCTTCTGCACCATTTTAAGGCATTTCCTCTCAGTTTGAAAGTCTATTTGAAATTCACCCTCATAGTTCACATTTGCATTGCTGTTTGTCCTCAAACTTTTTCCGCCTTTATGAGGACAAGATTTGTCAGTAACATCGATCTCTCTTGTATTGTTTCAGCAAGAACGGCTTGAAAAGGCAATGGAGATCAAGAGGGTTAGAGCAGAGCTGCTCCAGCAAGCTAAAGAAAAGGACACTCTTGCTTGAGTCACTTCTCCGTCCCCCCACACCGCCTTGCTCTCGTATCCTCCGAGGTACCATGGAAGTATTTCAAGCTACTCCCATACTGTTTAGTGAAAAACAATTGGGTTGACAAATTTCTTTCCGTTTCTTAGACAATTGTATGGATGCTGTATCAAGGAAATATTATGTAGCAACGAGGGCCTGGATTGCTAATATAGCAATCTTACCATTGCCTTGTTGTACTCTGTACCTCGTTTAAGGTCGATGTGCCGTTTTGGCGACGGACTCGTGATGATGGAAAATTAGTCACGATTGTTGATGGCGAATACCCTCATAATAATACAAAACACTCATTTAGAGATTCACATACTGGCACTCTTTCTCTAAATCAATGGCTTGTGAGTGTAATGTAAGCAACCATATGGCCAGCTCAGTTTTAGATTCTGAGATTCAGGAATTTTGCTGCCCCGAATTCCTGAAGGACACCTCATTCTTTCTTGCCTTACCTGCACACCTAGAGACAGGCAAAAGTAAGCAACCAAGCCAACAACACACTACTGAATCAATCAAATACTATTGCTTGTAAAATGGCACAAAATTTTTCTCTGTTTAGACCAACCATTCTCATGCAACTGATTAAAAGGAATGGGAACTCATTTTTAATTTTTCTTTTTACTCCAAATTGCATACATTTACACCATTCACCTCGATTATTCTAAATATAGCTCAACGACAAGATTTTCGAAAAGAGAGAAATTTATGAATATAACTCATATTCACTTTGGTTCGGATGGATTATGACGAAAAAACAATACTACCTTAATTATTGCCTTGGGTGCTCAAAAGATTGTTGCTCGTAAAACCCTTGATTCCAGATTCCAGATAGTGGAAGAAGTCCTATGACATGAATCATAATGGGCTAGTTTCAGTTAAAGGCGATCGAAGCAGTTACAAATCCACAACCTGACTTTAGTGCCTAACGATTTCCTCCACCTGCCAGAAAGTAGCTTTGCATGCTCAAAGCCATAACCCTTTGCTCGTCATCTTTCTGTTTTTACCAGTTGATAAAAGACGATAATGCCTGGGTTAGTAGTAGTACATAGCGTGTTCTGCAAGAAAACCAAAGGGATGGGGAAGAAACCAATATCAATATCCTATCATTGTTAGTTCCTATAATCCTATCCCATCTCCACTCTCACAACACACACCTCAGATTTTTCCCCAATCTCCATTATTTTAGTTTGTTGATGCCCATAAGGAACCTGTAACTTCTTCAATCATTATTCTCCCCTCTACTTCAACAATTTCATTCCTAACACATTTTGTTGTCTATATAAACTCCAACCTTAGAGGAGTTCTTCAGACATCATTCACTCTGCACATTGAAAAACACACAGAAAAAGAAAAAAAATGGGTATCCAGAAATCTCTGTTGATTGCTCTGTCGTTGGCTCTGGTCCTCGGCGTAGCAAACTGTTTCGACTACCATGAGCACGAGCTGGCATCGGAGGACAGCTTGTGGGATCTCTACGAGAGGTGGAGGAGCCATCACACCGTCTCCACGAGCCTCGACGATAAGCACAGGAGGTTCAATGTGTTCAAGCAGAACGTCATGCACGTTCACGAGACCAACAAGATGGACAAGCCTTACAAGCTGAAGCTCAACATGTTCTCCGACATGACGAGCCACGAGTTCAAGGATGCTTACGCCAACTCCAAGGTCCACCACCACGTCATGTTCAGGGGAGCACCACGCGGGAACGGGACGTTCATGTACGAGAATGTTGGGAGGGTGCCGCCCTCTGTTGATTGGAGGAAGAAAGGTGCTGTTACCCCTGTGAAGAATCAAGGCCAGTGTGGTAAGTGATCCAAGTTCTATATTTTTTTTTTTCATTTTTTACAGTAAAGTTCAATACTTTTGTGGTCAAGTGTCTGCATTTGGTTTAATTTGGTGGTTTCCTGACGGGTGTAACAGGTAGTTGCTGGGCATTTTCAACTGTCGTAGCCGTGGAAGGGATCAACTATATCAAGACAAAGAAGCTCGTGTCATTGTCTGAGCAGGAATTGGTTGACTGCGACACTTCAGAGAACCAAGGATGCAATGGAGGGTTGATGGAGTATGCATTTGAATTCATCAAGGAAACCGGTGGGCTTACCACGGAGGACAAGTATCCTTACCATGCTGCTGATGGTAGCTGTGATTCTGTCAAGGTCTCTATTCTAAAACCCTGCACTGCATATGTCTTGATACACAAAGAGCAGAAAAGGGTTTACACTTAATTCTTTCCCTTTTGTTGTTGCAGGAGGATGCACCAGTTGTGTCCATTGACGGACATGAGAATGTGCCCAAGAACGACGAAGATGCGCTGCTGAAAGCTGTTGCAAACCAGCCTGTCTCAGTTGCCATTGATGCTGGGAGCTCGGATTTCCAGTTCTACTCAGAGGTATTCATTCATTCATGTTATTTTCTGCCTCTTTCGAGACAAAGCCCTCTAGTACTCTTCAAATCCTGATACTGCTGGGATTCTTTTTCGAAAAATGCAGGGTGTGTTCACTGGAAGCTGTGGAACAGAGCTGAACCATGGAGTTGCAGCTGTAGGGTACGGAATCACCTTAGATGGAACCAAGTACTGGATTGTGAAGAACTCGTGGGGAGCTGAATGGGGTGAGAAAGGCTACATCAGAATGCAGAGAGGCATCTCAGACAAGACAGGGCTTTGTGGCATAGCAATGGAGGCTTCGTACCCCGTGAAAACCTCCTCCAACCCAACCCCCCACTCTTCTTCCCTCAGAGATGAACTCTAAATTCACTATACACCCATGAAAGAAGACACAGATTTCTCATGCTAATTTCAGTTCCATTTCCAGTTTCAGCACTTCTCTTCTTCTTACTTCATGTACCCAGTGACTTAAAACCTCAGCAGCTCTACATGCAATGAATAATAACAAATATAGGAATTAACGAAACCCATGATTTACTTCTGGAATTATAGTCTATATCCATTCATGTACTGATGCAAATCAAAGATCAAACACAAGCAGAAATCGAAAAAAGTTAACAACTTTTCCTGATCACAAACCAGGAGACGTTCTGATTTTTTCCACAGATAAGTTAAGAGGTTGAAATCTTTTTCTTCAGCAGTAGCATCGAATGGGATCGTTGCAGCCCTTTGCAGCGGATTGCTTGCTGCCTCTGCCGCCGCCTTTCTCCAGATACTGCTGATGGTACTCTTCCGCCCTGTAGAATCTCTTCGCCGGGAGAATCTCCCTCACGACCTTTTTGTCCTTCAATTCCGACTGCTTGGCCTCTTTCGATTCCTGAGCCAGCCGAGCCTGATTCTCGTCGTAGTAGTAGATCCCGGATCTGTACTGGGTGCCGGCGTCGTTCCCCTGGCGGTTGAGGGTGGACGGGTCGACCCGGCTCCAGAAAAGAGAGAGAGGAGATTGGTGTATGGGCAGAGTTCCGGGTCGAATTGAACCCTGACCACCACGACGTGGTTGGTGGTTCCCGTGCAGACGGCTCTGTAGACTAGCCGAGAACGGGGAGGTGGCCCTGAGAGTAGCCGACCTCGGTCTTCACCACGCCGGGGAGTCGCTGGAATGCGAGCTCTACTCGCCCAAAGCACACGCCGCCTGTTAGAGAGTGCTACTATTCCGCATAACTTTCTCCAAACAACTATCCCAACAACTCGAGTTATTGTAACCAATTGGTTTATTACATGTTATCAGAGCTCGTTTGGTCAAGTGGTCATTTGTTCGAATCTTCACGACCGCCAATATTAACAGTTTATTAAAGCACAATATATGATAGGCTTGTGCAAACTTTAAGCCCGTTATTTGGCTTTCGTCAAGTTACAATCAAAATGAAAATCTAACATCAATTTGCCCATAACAGCAATCTAAAACATACAAACAAATCGTAAATTATTTATACAAATTATTCATTTACCAACCACAGTATTTTAAATTTTGTTACTTTGCCTCGTGAGTTCTTTAATAGCAGACAACAGGAACGAACAATATCATTTTTCAAATTCAACCAAAATACAATCACATTGCCACTCCTAAATTGTTTTTTATATATTGTTCTTAGAGCATCTCCATGGAAGCAATTGTATTTGCAATTGCATTTGTTTTTTTTATATTGTTACTTCATTTGTTTTTTTCAATCCAACTCATCTTATTTGCATTGCACCACATCTATGCAATTAACTTGCGATTGCAACTAATTTTTTTAATTTAATTTATTAAAACATAAAAACTCAAATAATAAAATTAATGAATAGTTTAATAATAAAAAAGGTGATGTGGCTTGCATTCCATAATTGCATCATATGCAAGCTTGCAAAGACGCAATTGTCATCTACAACAATGCAATTGCATAATGCAATTGCAAATGAATGTCATATCATAATGCAATTCTAAATGCAATTCCAATGGAAATGCTCTTATAAAGATGTGTGATGGCAAAAATACATAATAAGTAAGCCTCATCTTTTACGTGGAAAAAATCCCAAAATATAACCGTTACTAAAAAAATCTCAAAATATATACGTTATAAAAAATAGGTTTCATACACTTGTATATCCAAAACTTTCATGGTTGTGCCAATAATATACAAATTTCTCGAAATACCACTTATATCCATGTTTTAAAGTTGTTCTTTGCCAAACTTATCCATTTCCGTTAAATACTTTGACGACGTTAATAACTCCGTCAACATATTTGACGGCAAGCTGACTGTGCGCCAACTAAGCAGACACGTAAGCGCCAACTATGCCAAAGGTGACACGTAATAAATTAAAAATAATTTAAAATAACCCTCCCCCCATATACCCACTCACAAAGAGCACGACCAGAATTTTTTTCCGCTTTCTTTTTTAGGGTTCGCACCATGGCAACAATTGAACCTCCTCCAGCCGACTAAATCTCTTCTCGGCGATTGAAGCTCCTCCGGCCGACTGAATATACTCCCTGGATAGTCTGCTACCATTCCCTCTTGAGATTCACCAGGCCTTTATCCACATCTCTTATCAGATCTTTCTTCTTTTATGACTACTCGTCTTCTCGCCATCGTTTAGTCGATGTCCAATCTCTAGCAACATGGATTTTAGGTTATTAATTTTGATATGAAGCAGGGGGTTTGAAGGAACATGCCGCCATTTCTCCAAGCCTTCCCCTGCCTCTTCTTCCCCTCCGGCGTACCTTATCACCATTGTTATCGGTGACACACCCTAACTCGACAGAGCTACGATTCGCGGCGAGGAAGCTCTGAAATCAAAATTTCCCCATCATTCCCCTTCATCTCCTTCCATCTCCGCCGCACCCAATCGCTATTATTATCAGCGGCGACGACTTGGGATTCTGGCCAGGCTGATGGAGATAAACAAGAGGCAGTTGCGGCGGCGGGAGAGGATAGATAGCTAATGGTTTGATTTGTTGTTAATGGTTGATCTCTGGGAACTTCGATTCACTTTCTGATTTGATGGATATGAATGGGGTTGCTGGGTTTAGGCATCGGCAAGGTGAGGGATTCAAGAGGATGGAAAAATCAAAAGAATGAACCTTGGTAGGAAAAGAGGGGAAGTGGGTAGAAAAAAGGAGAAGGGTAGAAAGTTAGGTAGAGACGAGGGGTGAGGTCAGATGAGTGGTTTGAAATTTTTATTGTTTAATTTTTAAATTAAATTATTCAGCAATCCACGTGGATAATTAAAGGGGAATTGGGAAATAAGTGTTCGCCACGTAAGCACCATTGTTTGTCCAGTCAGACTTAACGTTAACACCGTTAAAGAATGTGACGGAATTGGATATAAGTGGTATTTCGAGAAATTTGGATATTATTGGCACAACCATGAAAGTTTTAGATATACAAGTGTATTAAACCTAAAAAGATATTCACAATCTACACATGTTTGGGCTTCACCGCAGTCGTCAACCGCAAAGAATAACATCACCGCGACCGTCAAAAGCGATTAACGCTTCACCGCCACGGTCGGGAGTGGTTAATAATTACTCGCCATTCACCGCGGGTGTTCCACCCAGTGATGGACGGCTCAAGATGGTTATGCACCCATCAATAATCAAATCTGGACCTTTCATTTAGAAAATCCAGATCTAAGGATGCATAATTAAAGACCATTTTTATTTTCCCTAGCTTTTTTAATCGGCTCATATCTTTTTCGTTTTAACTCGATTTTTTTTTTGCACAGATGGAACGAGTTCATCTTGCTTTACAAAATGAGATCAGTTTTCAGTATTTTTAAGAAAAAAAAATTCTGGCCTCTCGGTACCAACTGCATACCATATGATATTTTCTTCGTTTTTAATTCGTTTTTGAAAACGTTTGCACGGAAGGGACGAGTTCATCATGACCTATTGGATCTACAAATTTCTGGGTGAACAAATTACATGACCAAAAAATACCACACAATACCATACAATACCACCCTGGTACGGGGTAGTATATTATGGTATTTTCTTCGTTTTTAATTCGTTTTTGAAAACGTTTGCACAGAAGGGACGAGTTCATCATGATCTATTGGATCTACAAATTTCTGGGCGAACAAATTACATGACCAAAAAATACCACACAATACCACCCTAGTACGGGGTGGTATATTATGGTACACAATGATAAAAGTCGTAAATGACAGTTAATATACTTCTACTATCATGTATTCAATCATCCTACAGTCTTGGTTTGTTCATACCACCATGGTACGCTTTTTAAACCATAGGTATGTTCTTATTTCAATACTAGTCAATACCATATTGTATAGACTAGTAAAAAATGGCTCAATTTTTTTTTGTTGTTCGAAAAATATATCAAAGTGGATATAATTTTGAAGAGCACAATTAATCTGATCTAACTGTGCAAAAAAAATTAAATTTTGACTTAAAACGAGTGAGAAATCGTCCGTCAAAGATTAAGAAAGGGAAAATTAAAGGCTTTCCAGGAGAAAGGGATGCTGATGTGGGCTGGTTACTCATGGTTACTTACCATAAGGTTACTGATCTGATCCGTTCCCGTGATGGACTAACCCAAATTAATAAGCAATACCCGTGCAGAGCTTCATCAAGGCTTAATAAGCAATTTGGGTGATGGACTAACCCAAATTAGTATATATATAATAAATTACATGCTTAATTCTCAATGAAAATATAAAAAATTACATGCTTAACAAATGAATATATGAATCATGGTTCATGGAAAAAATTGGCAAGTCGTTGTCAATCAATAATTCTAATTTATATTCATATGCAAAATCTAGACAAGGCACTATTGTTATAAACAATATTTTATGGGAGATGAGAATCGGGCTTATAATAAAGGAATTGAAACGTTGGTGCGTCGAATTTGGGAGAATTTTCCCTTCCTAGTTTTCATTTTTGTAGAGATAAATTGTAGAGTGAAAGCAAAATGAGAAGAACAAAAGTGGGGAGGGAAACATTGGGGAAGCGAAAAGTTGGGATGAAAATATCAAAATGAGAGGGGGAAGTTTCCCACCTAAATGAAAATGTGGTGGGAGTATTAGCAAGTGAGATTGAGTTTCCAATCTAAATGTAAAATAATATGCATTTGAGATAGGAGTTCCTGTCTGCTACGGCTCGCTCTCGTCCCTCTTAGGGTTGGCAAAGTGTTCTTTATGGTCGGCAGTTATTGGACATGGGGTTACAATGGCAAATTGGTAATGGTCTAACAGCCTCTCTACTTCACTCAAATTGGATTCCTCGGCTACACCCTGCCCATCCGGTGTATAATCCCCTGGCATTTTCTGCGACTCACTAGTTCCACTCTAAAGAAATCTCCATTGGATTTTTTAGATCCTGTTAACCACGGTTTCTGGCTCTTTAAGGAGAGAAAAGTAGTAGATGGGTTGGCTAGTAAGAATGGAACTGTTCAAAACCAGTCGAGTGGTATATCATGGAAGTATAAACATATCAAAGTGTAGAA